TGATTTGATAATTATATAAATTTATTTAATATATTCAATAACAATTTATATAATTAAGTATATTAGAAATAAATAAAACATATGTATGATATTATTCATAATATATGTATTATTAAGTATTATATATATATATTAATATTATATTAATTTGTATTATGTCTAATTATATCATATTATATTCATTATTATATTATATTTAATTTAAATAAATCAGATTATATATATAATATATAATATTATATAATATATAAATATAATATATAATATTATGATATAAAAATAATATAAAATATAAATTATAATTTAATATACAATATAATATATATATATAAATATAATATAAAATATATATAGTAATAATAAACTATATTGTATAATATATAATATATTTAATATATATAAAATCAATATATATAATATTTAATATCATATATAATATATATATAGTTTAATTTATCACATGATATATAAAATATAAAGTATATGTATCAAATATTTATATTTAATATAATATTTATATATATAATATTTAATATATGTTATATAATATATGTTATATAATATATACTATATAATATATACTATATAATATATAATATATAATATATAATATATACATATATAATAAATAATATATAATACATAATATTTAATATTAATTCATGATATCTAATATATATATATAATATGATATGTATATTATACATAACATCATTAAATATAAAATATTAACAATATCATATATTTATATAGTATATTTCACTATACACTATAAATTATAGATTACTTAGTGTTCTTTCTTATTAAATATATTGCAGTTCTATATGTAAATATATATAAGGATTCATTGGTTCTGCCATGTGCCCAAGGCAGTTCGCCAGAAGCTCGTGAAGATGAAGCAGGACAATCCTCATCTCCGGTTCAAGCTGGAGTCACGTGGGTTTACAAGGGAGAAGGTGGTCACCAGCATGGTAGGGGAGTCTGGATTGGAGCAGCCGGATGAGTATTTTGTCGAACTCAGTGCCTATGAACAGCAGTATGGAGAGGCAGACCCCAAGGACATTGTTTTCGATGAGGTGGAACCTGGCTCTGGACACTTTGTGGCTGGTGTACCATGGCATTACCATGGTATACATAATATTTTGTTTTGTTCGGGTTTTTGTTGTTGAACGTCTGAGGTGGACATTTGACTAACACTGACTCTGACTCTAAAAACGTTAAATTTTAATCATATAATTATGAATTACATAATTTTGAATTTGAACTCCAGGTGGGTAAATGATCCTTTAGCAATGCAACCAAGGTGAACGTGAGAACAGGAACTCCCGGGTGGTATAAGAGGATCAACAGGAACTACAATGCAGTGAGCCGTTCGTGTCGATTGACTGATGCAGTTGAAATTGATCCATCTCGCAATTGTGTGGATCGCATGCAGGCAGCTGCACGTGCTGCGGTTCTGACTCGAAAGGTATCTGGGTTATTAGTTTTTATGTTTTTTTTGTGTACGTGTCTTTCTTTGTCAGCGTCATCATCTGTTATTACAATTTCAATATTAAAATTATATTATTTGGTTAGTTAATCAATTTCAATTTCGATAATAATCATTATCGATATTATATATTTGATATATGCTATGTTGGGGGCGGTCTTATATATGTATCCAGGCTCCTATTGCCAAAGAGCTTCCACTGATGTTTGCCAATCGACCTATGATTTCAGATACGGCGGCACCCTCAGCAGCAAACACCGAAGTGCAGTCTACCAGGGCTGGTGCTGGAGATGAAGGCTTTTTTTATTTTTTATTTTGTGTGGTCGGTTAAACGAACATGTATATGTTTTATTTTCATGTTGACTATATACCTTTGACTTTTGACTTTTGACCTACATAGTTTGCATTAGAATTAGAATCACACTTTTGACTCCAGAGTCTCTAGATTTCTAGTTAGGCACATGGAAACATAGGTATGATATATATCAATTTCATTTGGGCAGGTGAGACTGCATCAGCAGCCGGAGATGGACACGGGCCCGCTTCAGATGACGAGGCAGAGTCCCATGGTGGATTGCAATCAATGCTTAAGACCTATGGATCAGCCGGGAAGAACACCAACCCAAAGGCAAAGGCAAGGGGATCTTCAAAACCATCTACTACAACGTCCATGCCTCCACCTTCACAGCCTGTGGTTCCAGGGCGGAGCATCAAGCGACCTATGCCATCTCTTCCTGCCAGTGCCGAGCGTCCACCAAAGGCAGCCAAGATTGAGATTGGGAAGGCCAAGAGCAAGGCAAAGGCAAAGGCAAAGGCAAAGACAGGATCGACAGCATGTGAGCTTAGCATTTTGGGGCCTGAGGCAACTCCTTCACCAGCCACTCTAGGAATGACATGCGATGCAGATTCCGCAGTGATTGATGCATATGGTGATCAACTGAAGGTCTTGAAGTCCATTGAACCACCTTTGCCTGATGCACCCTTCAAGGCATATCTTTCCGATGTCAACACAAAGTTGAACTCTCTTTCCATGGAAATGAAGAAGAAGCAGCGCAGTTGTCTCCGACGTACTTTGGGAGCAAATGATCCTCTCTATGTTGGTCTTGAACAACTCATTCAGACTGGTGGAGCTCTTCAACAACTGGTGAAATGCATCTCGTTTTTTTGTTTAATATGATTCATATGATATTATATTATTATTCGATTCTAAGATACTAGATTCTAGATTCTATATTTGGTTTGTATTGGTTCGATTTTCATATTTTGTAATTATCTATATAATATAATATAATATTTATTGAATCACAATTTATTATATATATATATATTAAATATTAATATTAATTATTTTTATATATAATAGAATATATATAATATATCATGTTTTATATTTCACATTAAACAGTTCTACGTTATCATAGATTTGTGATTTATGTTCTTTTTTGTTGTTTGAGCCTACACCTAAGGCCTCATCGGTACTGGTAGCATGGACAACTCCAAGACATTGCTTGAGGTCATTGACAGTTCTGCCATTGAACGTGGCTTCACTTTCAATGGCTCTGTGTTTCGTCGAGCACTGAAGTCTCTGATCAACCAGGATTTTGCGCATTCAGATTGGCAGTCGCTGGTGACAAAGACCGTTTTGGTTATCCATGAGCGCTTTGTGAGCGAGGGAGATGGGATGACTGCGGATGGCTACTACATCACCTTATGCGCACAGATCCTGCAGAAGTTGCTACGCACTGCATCTCAGAAGTTCAAGCCAAAGGAGTGGATACACATTCATGTAGTATTGTAGTAATATAGTATGACTTAGTAATATAATTTGAATATAGCATTGAACGATAAATATTAAAATTATATATGTATATATTATTATTATTATTTGTTTTTTTGTATTATATTCATTGTAAAATGTGAAAGTAAACTGTAAATTAAATTGTTATTTATCATATATTAGACTGCTTAACTGGTTTACCTCTGCTTCGATCATAATTATTGAAAATAAGTATGTTAAGTTATATTATTATTATTATTATATTAGGTAAATATATTCTGATATGATAATATTATAAGTTTAATAATTTAGTTTAATGATGATATATATATAATATAGTATATAATTTAACATATTTATGAATATAGATTATTATTAATTAATATATAGTAAGTATTATCAACTCTAGATTCTATACTTTATATATTTTATATGTATATATCATTGGTTAATAAAGTTAATAAGTATATATAAGATAAACTAAACTTGACCTTTCATTATATTAATTTTATATTTAAAAAATATTTAATATTAATATATTACTTATATATTATATACTTAGCAATGCGGTATTACTATATATAAAGTATATTAATTTTGATAATAGTAATTGTTATTGCTAATGTAATTATATATATATATATACAATATACATATATAATACTCATATATATAAATATAAATAATATTCTATACACCAACCCTCCAGGAGTCTACATTCTCTCCGATGAACAAGCAAGCTCTTGATGCTACGATCGGATTCATTGGTGCACTGGCAGTTGCTACATCAAGTCCAGAGACATTGGCTATCGATGCAGGGCACATCAATCGACTGATGCATGCTGAGAACTCGCGAATTGAGGAGGTCTTGAATTCCATGAACCTTCTGGATAAGCTGCGCAAATCAAATGAGCAGTGTCTTTGCATATTTTAGATATGTTAAACAAACAAATAAACAAACAAACAAACAATAATCATAAATCATAAATAACTACTATTTTTTTAATGATAAATTTTAAAATCAAAAAAAAACCATCAAAATATAACAAAACCAATCTTATAAGTTGTGTTGATAAATGTATATGTTTTTTTTCTCACTCGTTTGTTGTGTTTACATTTCCTTTCTGTTTTTGTTTTTGCCAATTTGCTAGGTCAGAGAAGTTACCATTGAGTCATGCACTGGCTGCTACTCCGATTGGTACTCGCATCATCACAGATGTGAAGGCTACACTCGAGTTGCGAAAGGAGACCACAGGCGACATGGAAACGAAATTGAACGATATCCTCACAGGCAAGCTCACTATGGACAATTTGGACTCAATGCATCTTGGATTTGCATAGTTAGTTATATAACTTAACATAGTTGTGCTGTTCATCCCTAAAGTTCTGGTTGTTGTGTCAATATATCGGCATTAATGTAAAGTATAATTACTAATTGTATATATTTGTTTTTACTTTTTATAAAATAAATAATAAAAAAATAATATTAATATAGTCGATCCATGATTCATGATATCTGATCATCAAATGCTTAACCCAAACTATGAGTTTTCCAAATGTCAGCTTCCCAAATACTTAATTATATAAGTTATCAAATCATTATTTTTGTTTTTTAAACAAAATAGATTTATTACTACTATGGCTATGATCATATGATCATTGATGATCACACAGTTCAACATTTTTTGTTTGCGAACATATATTCCCTCCATCAAACACAAATTTAGGTTGACCATGCTGGTGGAGATCTATGATGAATGGACCAAAATTCAGCAGAACAAGAAGCTCATGAAGGATGCCATTCAGTCCAAGCAATCACTGATCACGGAGGCATCAGCTTGGATGGTTTGTCAGTACTGGACTTTGTATGCTCCTTGGTTTAACAATCATTTTATTTTTGTGTTTTAATAATCAATTAAATTTAATATCAATATACTTATATAATTATATAATATAATGTAAACTAAATTGAACTAGATTTTAGAGTTCAGAGTTTGGAAAAGAACTTCAATACTCTAGATTGTGGACGAGTCAAGAATGTTGATTAATGTTAATTATATATTATATAATATATTATATATCAATGAATCATAAGGATGTTCGGGTTCAAGCCGATCACACTATCTTCATGATAATTTAAAGCCATATGTTATGTGTATTGTATCTTCGTATTGATTGTGTATTGTATTGAACTATATCTTTAGGTTCAGACTTTTAAATTTAAAATAGCAAAGCATCATGCTATGCAATGCTAAGGTTGATGGTTGGGCAGCAGAGTCATTGACATCATTGGATTCCCGAGATGTGTTTTCGGCACCAGAGATTAGTGAGTGGATTGCCTATGACAAGATCGCCATTGTGGATGCCTTCAAGTCAGCCAAGACAGTATTGGATCTATTTGCACAGCTTGCCGATTCGGTAATGAAATTGAAGGTCAAGACGCCAGGAGAGATTCAGCGTGTGCATCGCTTGCTGGAACAACTTCAACCTTCAATTGTATCATTCCAGGCAGGCAATGTATTTGTATTATTTCACTTAGTTTGCTTTTACATTGTTGTACAAGATATCATAACAATATCATTGTATACCAGATTGTTCAACAACTTAAGACTGCTGACTCTAGATGGTTTGAATTCCAAATATCGACATTGATATATTGATACACTATACTATCTCACATTGATCAACTCTTAATTGTATTAGAATCTAGAATCTAGAAAGTTTAAATAGTAAAAGTAAACTAAACTAAACCATGCCAAACACCATATCAAAAACATGAATCTTAACTTACTGTAACTTAACTAAACCATTGCTTTCACTTTCAAATCATGCAGGCACAGATTGTGAACAAGATGCCAGAGGACAAGACATTCGGGGTAAATGCATTCAACCAATGCTGTGAACAAATTTCTTTGCTGGTCAAGAAGGTGAACTCTTGCAAGATCACTGCCATTGAAGTCGAAGCAAAGTCAGATGCCAGTGGCTTGTACAATTCAGTGGCTTATGTGCAGGGTTTGGATGTGACGATGCCGGACAACCTGCCGAAGAGATGCGAGCAATTGAAGCTCTATACTGCTTGCTTGGAAGACATCAAGAAGCGCACCATCTATGTTCGTCTCTCCGACTTCACATCGGTCTTGGTGAAATCAGGACCTATCTTCCTTTTATGTGTGTTGTTTTTTATTATTTATTTATTTATCAATTTGATTTTCTTATCAGAATCATAACTTATTGATTATGAAGTATGTAATCATTTAGTAATGATTGTTGTTGTGTTTTTTTGTTCGAATCCTTATGTTTGTTTAATTTTAGTTTTAATTGTTTATATTTTGAATTTAAATTAATATTGGTTTATTTAGTATTGGTACATAATCTAGAATATGGAATCTTTTACATTTATATTATATATATGTATTGTAAATATTGTGTTAGATAATCTAAATCTAAATCTAGATTGACTAGACAAAAAAGCAAAGCTAATCTCGGTTAGTGTGAATGTTGGTTTTTCCATAAATTCATAAATATGTTTTCTCAAATAATATCAACATTGATCACATCATATTTTATTTTCTACTTATTGGAAATTGATTGTTTTAACTTTAACACTATGATATGATTGATTATCCATTGTATTATTGTTAGTGTTTATATTATATATAGTAGGCAAATAAACTAATCAAATTATGAAATCTCGAGAGGCATCTCAGGTGTTGTTTTTCTTTTCCACGACAGGAGCTATGATGAAGAATCTCACAGCAATCAAGACTGTTGAGCTTGCTGAGCTGTCTGAGAAGCTGGGGGAGTTCAACAATGACGAGATCTTAGCCTTTGGTGAGGTCTTGATCAACGAAAAGCCGGACGCATCTCCATCCTTTGATGCTCAAACCCTTCTCATCTTTGTGCAGAAGCTTGGAACTGACATGATGAAGTATCTCAATGGATGGCAGACATCAGTTGTTGCTTGTTTTTTTTAATTATACTAAGGCTTTGGTTGGAACAAGGAAGGAACTGAGAGGTGATGTAGCTGTTGTTTGATGATGATAGTGGTAGGTATCACAGGTCTTTTCCGTCTAATATGAATTTATTTTTATATGTTGAACCAAAGATGTTATCATAGATGATAAGAAACGTCTTATGTAGTAATACCAGAATATTAGTACTACTACTAGTAGTATACATAATTCATTTGTTTTTAATTATAATAATAATACACAACAAGATTCCATTATATTGATATTAACCATATATGACTCGACTCAACAACAATTGCATCTGTAAGTCTGTAACTGAGGTTAGCATCGTGAAGGAGCTATGTGCTACAGCCGCTGCAATGAACCTGAACGAGCCATCAGTCATTGACTTTGGGGATGTTGGTGATGGTTTGTGTCGCAAAATTCATGAATATCCAGAGTTGGAATCCCTCAATGAACCAGAGCTTCTCAATATTAGCAAGGCCTTGTCTGAAAAGCTGAAGGAGATTAAGGTGCCTTTGTTATTATTAAATATGTGATTCGATTTGATGCTGTATTTTTTTAGTTGTTATGTTTATGTTGTTTAATGTTGGTTATTTATCTATATAATTCATTAGTTGATGATTAATTAGATTTAATTAGCTAAATAATTAACATTAATATATTTGAGTATTTGAATTGATATTATAAATTAAAAAAAATATTAAGTATTTTAGAATTTAGATTTAGTTTCATTAGACTAATACATTACTACTCACTCACTACATTAGAATTGTATTATTGTTTTTTATTTAGTTTATGTTTATAGTTTATAGTTTTAATTATACTATATTATTCACCAATGGTTTCTCAGATGTCTAGAGTTAAATTTATTCATCTAAGCACCGACACCAAGGCAATGACCAATGTTTCTTCTGAGAAGCTTGAGGAATTGAACCAGGTGGTCGCGACCGCACAGTCACACTACAATCTCATCATGACATTGTTGTGTATCATCGCCATCGTCAAAACTATCTCATGCAAACGGTTCGTTCGTGCAGTCAAAGATGGTCATCAACCACCAGTGATTCTGACCAACCAGTTGGGGGCCTCAATGAAGATTGCTCACGATCTTAATTTGCAGATCCCAGGATCTCTCCAAGCGAAGGTGTTGAAATTTACATCTTCGGAATCAAACTCAGCAAACAAAGCCTAGAGGCCTAGAGTCTAGAGTCATGACACATGACCTGATAGCGATCTATCTCATGGCAGTGATAGCTGGAAACTTGCAAATCAACATATCAAAGTGTTTTCCATTTTGGAGTTAGTTGTTTCGTAATTTGTACTGAGTTTCTATTAGTTCTATTCTATTTTTTCTATGTTTTAGTTTTAATCTTATTGTCTTGTTTATGGTTTATCAATTGAATTTGCAGATCGCTTCACTAGACTATGGGCTATGTTCCCAGAAATCTCTGGTCTGAAACAGTTTTTATCAGACCTTTTGGAGTCATTTACTTTTTTTTCTTAGCTTTCCGTAGTTTACCGACACCAGGTCTTGCTTAGCAGATTGGTGCGGCTAGGTCAGTTTATGTGATGTGTTGGCTTCCTGCCATAGGTAGGATGATTCATGCAACATGTGCTCAGGCGCAATGCTTTGGGTTTGCAGAGTGCCCTCAGAAAACTGCACATGTACTAAGTACAATGCGTACAGTACAATAGAACCAAGATCCGGTTCCAATTCGCTGAGAGATTTTAAAAAAAACATATCCAAGTTTAGTTCAGTTTAGAGTAGATTCCGATATGAATCTTAAATTCTTCCAATCTACTATTCAAACGGTAACTCAACCCAATCCAGGATTAAATATTCAAAATTCAGATTCAAATCACAAATTTGGTTCAAATTACACTACTAAATTCAATTATCAATTATCAATATTATTATTGTACACTGTATTGTATTGTTATCAGTTATCAGCTGTCTATTGCTGCTACTACGTCAAGTTCCACAGTTTCACACATAACATCATACATGGCATGACCCGACACACTCACTAGTACAGGCTCACAGACTCAATTCACAGCGCAACTACCATGCAAACAACATCAAACAACAATTACTGTAAAAAAAAACATATTGACTAAGATAACTTTATTGCACAATTTCATAATGAATCAATTTGTTGCTGATCTCTTAAACTCTTATTTCGTTTCCCAACTCCCAACTATTCATGCGCAATTCACAAACACTGTGTGCATCTGTTTTCAACGTTGACCTCAGCGTTGCTTCTTTGCTTCCAGCATGCCACCCAAGAGGAAGGATAAGGAAAAGCCTACACCTACACCTAAGGTTCCTAAGGTGAAGGGAAAGTCTAAGGATGACAAAGACAAGGATTCACTACCAGTCGTCAGCGATGCGCAAAAGGAGAAGAACAAGACCTACTGGGATAACATCAAGAAGAAGCAGGCAACGCATTGGGTTTGGCTATTACTATGGTCGATCATTATCACCACCACTATAATTGATTCATTGATAATCAAAATCATACTCATAATTTTATCATAATCATTCATTATTAATAATTAATAACAATAATCACTACTAACTATAATCAATCAGTATCATCATCATCATCATATTCATCATTATCATGAAAATTATCATTATTATTATTATTATTAATTATTATTATTATTTATTATCATTGTCATCATTCATTCTAGTTGTAAGTTAGTTATAATCATTATATAGTTTTACATTTTAAATTTCAAATATACTCAGAATCATGAATCATAAATCATAATCATAATTAAATTAAAATTAAAATTATTCATCATCATTCCATCATCATCATCATCATCATTATTCATTATCACCATCACCCCAAACAACACCACCAACACCAACACCACCATCATTCATCATTCGTATTATAAATCTGAAAGTTGCTTTGTTGTTTCAATTTCAATTTTATCTTTTAACTTCAACTATACAAATATAAAATTGATGATGCGGTTCGATCATGTGTTCAGTATGAAACCATAAACAATGTGTCTGGTCCATATTTTTATCAGGTTTTGTTAGATTTCTTTTTTTGGTCGGCAGGAACCGACTCCAGATACTTCAGTATCTGCAGAGCCGGAGATGAAGCGCGCGAAGTTGGAGGAAAATGATGCCAGCAAAGATGATGCACTTGTTGCTTCACTTGAAACCCTCATGGACGAAATGGACACCATAGATTCTGAACAGAGACAACCTGATCAACCAGCTTCAGAATCAGTGAAAGCATCAGCTTCAGGATCTTCGACAGACCAAGTTCCAGCTGCAGAGACAATTGAGAAGCAGGAGACTGAGAAGACATCAACTGCAACAGGATTTGAAGATAACGCTCCAATCAAAGTCGAGATTCCAACCGAAGGCAAGTCCATTCATTTGTTGGTGGAGGCAGTGAAGAAGCATGATTTGTTTGCGCAGTTTTGTGAGAGCACCAATGTCAAACCATTCGACGCTGATCCAGTCGACCTTGTCGACATCTACACTGTGTTGAGCCAATTTGATTGCTTTCTACAAGCAAATGGCAGCACATTGTTGGATGAATCGTTGATGAAGAATGCCAAACATTCTCCAGATCTTCGTGAGGCAGCACTCGAGAAGTTGCAAACCATCGCTGAATGTTGCAAATCCAGCACACTATGGACTCAATATATTAATGTCATGGCAGCCAAGGAAGGCATCACAGCTTCTGAGGAGATCGATGAATTCAAAATGGCATGGTGTAGTGATGAAATTCCTCACCAAGATCAGTGTCGACATATCCATGAATACCTGAACTATGTAATATGTTCTGGCAATGATCATGGCTACAACATCAACATCATTATTGACATCTTGAACATAGACCTGACAAAGACTGAGTCGTTATTTCAGTCCGATGCTGTTGCCAACGACACTCCAGGGATTGCTGACGCAACTGACGCTAAGGACATGGATGAGACCAACAATGTCGAAAAGACCGGAGATGGCAACACCATCGAAACAACCGGAGATGGCAATGAAACTGATGAGACTGAAGGCGAATCTGACCTACACTTTCGATATCCACCTGCACCTTCTACAGATCATCCATCCATCAAGTGCATTCTGGGTAGTGCTGCCAAGGCGGGAAACAAAACTGTTAAGTTAAGAAGACTCAGACTAAGACTTATTCCAGGACTCCATGACACAAGACTGAAACTCAAGACTACGACAAACACAACGTAACTAAACACTAACTAAACTTTTAAAAGACGACTCTAGACTCTAGACTACTCTAAACTCTAAACACATGTTATATCAAATCAAAACTCAAAACTCACAACACACGATTCAATACTCAAGATGTTAGATTGCAGCTATTAGAATTGAACTGATTGAATTTGTCTTTATGAAAGTAGCACAGTTCATGACACAGAGAATCCTCTGTCACCCCTGTTAGACAATGTTGCAGAAATTGATCCGAAGCGGTGTTGACGTATCTGGCAAAGTACGAGCTTTTCCACGTTACTTGGAGGTTGGTGATTACTTCACTGGCACTGGAAGCTTCTTGATGATCATGAAAGCTCTCAAGAACGCACTCGACACTATCGTACCGGAGGCGACTGACCAACTACAGGCTCGTTTTTTTTTGGTGGCATCTTACAAATTTCCTGTATACTATTTTATTATATTTATTTTATATTTAAAAAAATAGTATGATTAAATTTTATATAATATAACAAAATACACTATTCAATTTATATTAATATTATATTAAATATTAATAAAATTAATATAATATAAAATAACACTTAATAAATAATATAAATAATATAATATATAAAATAATTATAGTATTATAGTTTAATTTTATATTAAAATGATATAATAATACTAATAATATAATGTAATATAGTATTTATTTAATTAATATTATAGTAATAATAAAATAAAATATAAAACATTTTTTAAAAATATATAATTTAATAAAATATAATATAATATAATATTATACAATATAATTTAATATAGTATAATTATAATAATGTAAGTAATAATAATATAAGATAATATAATGTAACAATAATATAATATAATATAATTTCATATAATATAAGATAATATAATATTCAAATTTATATAAACCATAACAAAATAAACAATATATAATGTATACTAGATAATAACATATGGAATATATATATATATATTGTAAAATATTTAATATCTAGTAAAATAAAATATGATATAAATTACTATGAATATATAATCTAATATTATATAATACAATTTGGCATTATATATTACATTTCAAATATATATATAATATAATATGTAATGTATGATTATATAATGTATATTAAATAGTTAGATATATTGTACAACTATGATTATGACACTGACTGGTATTATATAAGTATTATATAAACATAACATTTTTATATATTGTTTGTTTTAGAAAAAAACAATAGTATAGTATAGTATAGTATAGTATAGTAACTATAGTATAGTAAGTTACAGTAGTCTTGGAGTCTAGTCAAATCTAGTTAAGTCAATGTGTTTTTTTTTTTTGCCTGCATTGTCGGCAGGTTGTGCATGAGTTCACAGCGGAGTGGATTCCATTCAAGCAGAAGCACATCCTTCAAGCTTTCCCCGACGAAGACTTCTGTTTGTTTGAGGATGCAACCAAGGTCATGACTGAGTTGCGAGATTGTGTGCGACATGGTGGGGCATGTGTGGCTTGGTTCCAATCTGGTATACAACACAATTACACACAGTAATTTGAAATTTAGCAATACTGATAATATTCATAAATACTATAAGCAATAGTTAATCAATATATGTATATAGTATTAATGATTAAACTAAACTACTAAACTATTATTTTATATTTGCAACCTATCAAATTTAATTCTTTATCACTAACAACAATGACTAATAGTTCATTAAATTATGATAATGATGATTCGATGTTTTTTTTTATATTGAGTGTTCCTTTTGTCTAACCATCAAAAAAAACATAAAAGGAAAAAAAACATATGTAATCAAATAGAATAGATGTATATTAATTTATCGGATAGTGTTGCCAGCTATAGCAGCTACATGACTAAGGCTCTGACAGACTTTCTATGACTAAGGCTCTGACAGACTTTCTATGGAGATTCAATGGAGGATTCAGCTGCAAGTCATTTTCCAAACTCCACCCGGACTGGACAGCCTTGCAACGTGCAATCTTTGAGGACATGGATGCTACTTGGCTCTATTTTTTTTTGGTAGTCACATCGCATTGCGAGTGAGCTGTGAATTTCTTACAGGTAAGGGGAAACAAATATGTAGGATGTCTTATCTAATCGATTAATAATTATTAATGACTATTTTTTTCTTTAATTTTTAATGTTGACTATTAGTATAGCTATGTAGTATAGATAATTAGATAATAGATTTAGTAGATATATAGTAATATAATATATATTCTATATATTGTTATTAACCATTATATCAATCTGGATTCTAGATTCTAGATTCTAGATCCTAAATTCTATGAAATCTAAGAAATCTAGAATCTCAGAAATCTAGAATCTAGAATTTAGAACTTCGAATCTAGAATCTAGAATCATAAAGTCATAAACTATTACTACTCCTACTCCTAGTAGTAGTGGTAGTAGTAGTAGTAGTAGACTAAGACTAAGACTAAGACCAATACTAATTTACACAAACTATCAACATGATAGATTAGTAGTAGATAGGTGTTGTTGTTGTTGTTCTTCTATCCATATTCGGAGAGATTAGGATGATGAGCCAACATAAAGTTCATAGTTCAACCACCATATAATCATATAATCTTATAATTTATAATAATTGTAATTGCAATTTGCATGCAAGTTCTGACACAAGACTCAATCACAAGACCTACAAAACAATATAACAGGACAAACAAAAATAATAGTAGTTACAAAAAAAACATAATTAGTAGTTAAATAGATATTATTTAGCTATTATGATTAAATTAAATCTTACATGATGCTGTTAGGTTAAGTTAAATGACTAGCAAATGCCATAATTCATAAGTCATAAGTAATAAGTAATAAACAAACATACATTGTGTTAGTTTGTTTATTTCTTTTAAATTTTAAAACACATAAATCATGAATCATAACATAACTTACATATATCATATCATCACATTAGTCTCACATGGTTTAGTGATTCACAAGTTGTTTGGTTTGTTACTAGATGATAACCATTGGGACACATGTGCCCAGGAAACATCGAGTGTGAGCACATTCAAAAGCTGTGCCTCCACAATCAGGGTTCTACGTCCCCAGTGGTTCCTACTTGAGAACGTAGACCTTGAGGGTGATGACTCTGAGGGCAATCTACAGAGTATCATCAGGGTGCTAGAAGCCGCTGAGTATTTGGTTCAGACATTTCGCCTAGTGGCATCCGATTTCGGGCTGCCTCAGCGACGTGTCCGCATATATCTGGTGGGCTTTTGCAAGCAGAGGCACCCTGATATTTCATTTCAACGCATGGAACGCCATATCTCAATGATGCGATTGAAATGTCAGCTTCCAGATGCTTGTCTCACATAAATAGATTTTGATTTTTGAGTGTAATTCACCACAAAGCTTTTGAAATCTAGAATATCTAGAACCTAGATTCTAGATTCTAGATTCTAGATTCTAGATCCTAGATCACATTGAATCTTGTGAATAATGTACTCTAATATAAAATATTTAATTTAATTCAATTCAATTATACTATAATTATAAACAACTATAATATAATACTGTTATAGTTTATTAAACATAATATTATATACTATGCTTTAATTGATTTATACATATATATATATATTATTACTAGTATTATTATATAATAAATTATTATACTATACTATACTATACTACAATACAATATAATATAATATTATATTACATTATAATATAATATATTTTAATTTAATTTAATATAGTATATAAATAAATAAATAAATAAATATAATATTAATTATGCATATAGTATTAACAATTAACACTCATAATGTAACAACTATAGTTTATAATGTTGAAGTTGATACATAGTATATATATAATAAAGATTAACTATTTATATAATTATAATGTCTTATATATATATATATTTATATGTTCTAATATACAATACTATAAATATTAACCAACTTGAATTATATTACATTATATTATGCTATATTATATACTTATTATATACTTAGTTCTTAGTATGTGTCCATTGGTTTTGGTTGCTGTGCCCAAGGAGGATTTCATGCTTCCAGATGATTCCCCACAAGTTCAAGCCGAGTTGAATCGGCGCATCAATTTGAGAGCAAAGGCTGAAGGAAAGGTCGATGAGGATCCAAATGTTGGGACGACAACAATCATCAAAACAAAGGGAGCTAAGGTGGCAAAACCGAAGGCTAAGAAGGAGAAGTCTGCAGTTGCAGAAGGCCTTGACCTTGCCTCTAGTGGGAAATGGCAGCAAACACATCAGCAACTGGCAGAAGCACGTGTCTTGGTTTGAAGTTTGAAATACGATGTATGTCTCAAGTATCAGTTATTTTTCTTGCATGACTCAAGACACATACAACATGATATAGATTATATATTATCATATACTTATATACAAATAGTATAGATAGACTATCACTATCATTATCAGATATATACAAAGGTAGCCATAGACATAGACAACTCATATTCACCACTCCAGATTCCATTCTAATTTCCAATTATTAGTTTATTTATCGAGACTAGAGACATCTGTTACCCGTGACCAACCAGTAGTTGTTTTTTTCAAAACAACTCATGAACTCTTGTAGTACATGTAAACATTCTTAAAAGATTATGGTGTTTTGTGAATCATCATCATCATCATCATCATCACAATCATCATCAGTAGTGTTAATGTGGCTTTTCTTTGTTGACATCATGTTAGTAGTTAACACAAGTTTCCAACCCGGTGCCCAGGCGGCATTCCGTGGCCTTTGCAGACACCGCATGAGCTGGAGAAGAATCCATGGTTCGATACTCTGAGCTTACGTGAACGTGAGGCTGGGGTTGACTATATGAGAGAGGTGACATATCACATAACTAGAAACTTAGTAACCTGACTGTACTCTAGACGACTAGAAGAAAATAGAAAGTTCATTGCCTCATCACTTTCATGTTTCTCTCTTTCTCAAATGTCCCTGCCAGAACGTTCTGTTTCTGATGAACGAGTCTGCAACCAACAGGGCGATGGGCAGGGCGCCATTGGTATACGGTGATCTTTACCATTCGGCCAACAGGACGCCAAGTTCAGGTCAACAGGTTTCTTGGTAGACATTGATGGACTGGACGACTGGACATCTCCCCCCTCCCCCCTCCAAAAAAAAAAATGAACAGATCGTCGAAATCTACGAAGCCGGACCAAAACTGATTACTGACGACTCCGGACTACATTTTTTTTTTGGAGGGGGGGAGGGGTAGATTCGACTAATGTCAGACTAGTGACAAGACGACAAGACAAGTGTTACCAGACTAGACTAGACTAGACTGACACACACACTAGTCACTAGACTAGGACACCACTAGACTCACTAGACTAGATGACTAGACTGGACTCTAGGACTCTAGGGCCTAATATATATATATATATTTAAATTTCACATTGTATTAATTAACCATTAACTATTAATTATTAACATTACCAACTTATAACTCCTATTCTGATTCTTATTCTTATTCTTATCAATCATATCATATCATATATCATATGGATCATATCACTACTTACCTGCTTAACGTACTAATTAAATCTACATGAATCTACATTACATCATAACTTCATAATATTATAACTTATAATAACTATCATATATCATATCATATAACTATATTATATAATACAATAAAATCATATAGCTACAATTATTATATAACTTAGCTTAGCTACACTTTCTTAAATCAGTCTTAGAGTCTTAGATGCTGGAAAGTTACTATGGCAGAAATAAGAAAGTAGAACATATAGTTTATAATTTATAATATTGATATCTGCTAGTATTGCTGCTGCTGCTGCTGCTATTACTACTACTTAAAACTTAATACTTAATACTTACTACATACTACTTACTACTTACTGCTTACTACTTACTACTTACTACATACTACTTACTACCTACTACTTACTACTTACTACTTACTACTTGCTACTACTGTTACCACTTCTGCTACTACTACTACTACTACCACTGCTACTGCTACTGCTACTGCTACTACTACTACTACTACCACCACCACCACCACTACTACTACTTTGACTTGGACTTAGACTTACTCCTTGAGTTATGTTTTTCTAAGCAGTTATAAGTTATATTATGTGAATCATACAGAATATGAGTTACATAATTATAAGTTCTAAGTCTCTAAGTACTACTACCTGCAACTACTACTACCACTATTACCACTACCACTACGACTACGACTACGACGACGACTACTACTACTACTACTACTACTACTGATATTGCTACTACTACTACCACCACCAACAGCACTAATATACTAGAATACTACTATGACTATGACTCAACTATGATGGCTAAGACTAAGTTTTTGATTTAAGACTTTGAGACTCAGACTCACAACTCATAAACTTATGACTCACGACTGGTGACTCTCTCAGGAAGTTCCAACAATCTTGCCATCGACAAAGTTGTGGCATTTGGAGAGGGGACGCCTGTTGTTGGGACGTGAACTTCTTCACCTACAGGGCATACGATTCAATGCGGAGACTATGGACAAGTTGTCGGAGACACAAATGACTGACCTTGCAGGGAACGCGTCTCTTGAAAGCATTTAGTAAACTGGGAACATTGTGATCGATTAGATGTTACAAGTAATTTATTGATTGGTGACTAGAATTGGCATAAATGCCAAAAACAATGAATCATGAATCACGAATCACGAATCATACATAATCCATTTACACGATTTATTTTATGTTAGTTATGTGTTGTTGTTATACTGTTATACCGGCTTTGCATGTTTTCATGATTTGATGTGATCATTTTTTCTACCATCACCATCACCATCATCATCATGAATCATGAATCATGAATCATGAATCATGAATTGTGAATCATCAGCATCATCATCATGAAGCATGAATCATGAATCATGAATCATGCATCTAATCCTTGTCATTATCGAATCATTAATATGACTCTGAATCAATTTAAATTAAATTCAAAACTTTCAAAACTGATCCAAACATAGAATCATACTGGTGAATTATAAGAAACTTCATGGGCTGTTCAGTTCATATTTACCTTTTATTTCATTTCAATTTCAATTTCATTTCATAGTTTTCATGATTCATAACTCGGAACAACTTGATCCATTCATATCATACCAGGTCAGATCATGTCGAATTTACATATATTATTATATAATATCCTATCAATTCTCAACATACAAAATGTTATGATTTTATTTTATGACTAACTTGTTTGGTCCTATGCTGAACTCTGGGCTAAATAATTTTGAACCAAAGCAAAAACCCAAACCACACTAATTTCCATCTACCTACCTATATTTGATAAAATCTGAATTTTATGTTTGTGTTTATAGTTTATAGAGTTTATTTTTATAAATTGTTGCATATATTTTTTTTCAAGGTTCATGATTCATGATGCATACATAATCCATGACTCCGTCAGTGATGTGGGCATTCGAACTAAGATTCAGCTCAACAGTGTGCTTATCCATCCTCATCGCGATTTGCATGGAGCTGAACTACAGAACCGAATCTGAAAGCGAACAAGAGGGTGAAACATCAGCTTTGTTGGATCACTTAGCCCAAAATTCGACGTAACTCCATGGTGTTGGGTTATTCTATGAATCTATGAATCTACTATAATCAATCTAATCTATTTATTCTATTGGTGATTGGTGATGTAACCAAAATTTATTAGATTATTTGACCATCTGACGTTATCTTTGTTTCAGTTTCAATTGGTTTCAATGATGAACCAATCTGTGAATCACAAGTTCCTATGGTGATTCATTGTCAATCAAACATCATACATTTACTCAACACTAAGACTAGGACTATGAATTCATGATTCATGAATTATACCGATGCATAATTTATCAAGTATTTTCAATTGGTTGTTGTTGGGGAAGGAATACCTAATTCCTGGAGTTTTGGATGAGTCAGATCAAGTCACACCATCGCATTTTGCGGTGGATCTGCCGGAGCTTGGTGTGTGAGTGATAGACTCACTGTACACTACTAGCATGTTGCTTTGCGATTGGTATATGGTACGGTATATTGCTGAGTCGTCATGTTCGGATACCCAAAGGACCTGTAGTTGGTTAAGTTTTGGTTTTGATTTTTGATTCGATTCGGTTGATATTGATTCCATGATTCAATTTATTCATTCAATTGATACTGGACTTATGAATTATGAATCCTGATACTTTGTAGGTTTGATTCAATTTGATTCAATGTGATGTAGACATGACTACTAAATACGATAGTTATAATTTTCTATTATTACATTTGTACAACGTCACACAATTCAATACATCAACTCTGATATTACAGTATAACTGGACTGATGACCAGCATGGAAACGATATGTCAGACCAGACAACTGAATCTTGAGTCTGAGGCATGCAGCGTCATTCACTGATCCAGTGCCAGAATCCTGAATCATATAACTTACTTCAACTTCAATTAAATTTTAAATCATCATCCCTTTACTTTACATCAATGTAGATTCTAGATTCTAGATTCTAGATTCTGGATCATAGTCACAAAAACAATAATAAACAAAAACAATAACTACTATGTGGAACCATATGACCTTCATATGAACAGTGGGTGAACTTGAACCAATGAACAATGTAATTCTTAGAGTCTTAGAGAAGACTATCGGTCAGAAGGCTATGGATCAGGCGAACCCAGCACAGCAGTTGCGGCCAACCATGACTCAACCGCTTCGTGAACGAATATGGAAGAGGAAAAAAATGGGGAGTCTCTGGTTTCCCTGATTCAGATCAAGGCAATAGTAGAGTCAAGACTCAAGACTGGATGAGAATATGGATTTTTGTATGACTCGACTCGACTTGACTTAGAATTTAAAATTAAAATATGATTTGGTTCTAGATTCTAGATTCTTGATGATTGAACCAAGTTTTGACTTCATAAGATTTCATGTTAACCGGATAGGTGGTATACCCATTAATTTGATCGTATTTATGTTATGTAAGTTATGTAACATATAAGGATTTGCATACTTTGTACCACACTGAGCGTACAATCGTACATACAACTTACTGTTCATTGTACATATCGCATTGTACACCTGTACGACCGTACCGTCACCGACGCACGACCGCACCGCACACCCGTACCACTGCACACCGTACACGTTTTCACCTCTCAAAAACATCCTCCATAGCATAGGCTTTGAAAATAGATAATTCATGTTACAATGTTGTTTCTTGCTCCAGGTACTTCTACGTTGCGCATGGAACGGGTCTTGAAATGATGCTCCATGGAGCCCTGGTGTCGAGCTCAATGTTCTCAATCTGGACCGCAATCTTGTCTTTCTTGTTTTGGGTACAGTGCCGGATACAGTACTCAGGTCACCACAATGTCAGCAGGGCAGACATTTGGAGAGCTCGCGCTCCTTCAGAAGTGGTGGACTCAGCACGAAAACATCCTTTCACTCTCTTGCCACTGCGCGCATTTCGCAGATGCACGTCGACGTCTCATGAAATCACATTTTTCTGGATGGATGTACATGCAACTATATGCACATCCTGCTTGTGATATGTACATGTACATTTACACAACATCTGACAATCATATACATAATATGTAATTATATGCATAAATATACATATAAATATATGAATAAATAAACAAATAGATAACTAACTAACAAAATCAATAAATGAATAAACATATAGATACTGTAACTAACTAACAAAATCAATAAATGAATAAACATATAGATAAGTAAATAAACAATCGATATATAATGATATATATATATATACATATACATACATACATACATACATACATACATACATACATACATACATACATACATACATACATACATACATATACCTATCCTTATATATACACGTGTATATATATACACGTGCATATATATATACATACGTATACATATATATATATATGTATACACACATATATATATATATATATATGTACACACGCACATATTCCATGTAGTATATGTACCGTACGTGCTTTCACAAGCACACGCCTGTGTGTGTCGCTTCATCATATGATATGCCTTTTCATATACAATAAAACACACACACACACAACTTTGCAGTTTGGGTTTCCATCCGCACCAACCTCTTCCTACGCATATGCAGCATATGCATATACGCATCCACAAAGAATAACAGCCCATCCAGAAGAAAACACACGACACTCACTCACACATATTAGCAGCAAAACAAAAACAGTATATAGTGATTGATTTAATTCAAAGGTCCTTGCAAAGAGTTATGATGTCGAATGCTGCGTTTCGAAACCTTGCGAACGTTTTCTTTTTGGAGTTCGCGAAAGTTTCGTGACAGTTAGATATTAGGAATCACCATATGATATGAGTGGTTAACTTCTAGGGATATTTGTGCGAAAGTTCCGCGAGAGTTACGCGAAGGAGAGGGCGAAAGTGCATTTTGAAGGGGTGGCCCAGTGATTAAGTCTTATAAATAATCACATATATCCAATAAGCAGCCATCTGTCCTGAGAAGGGATTTATAATATAAGGCTAGCATGAAGTACAGTAATCTACGATAATTTGGCAGGTAATGGCAGTGTCTTCATAAACGGCATTGTTGCCCCACATGGGTCCTTCGAAAGATAAACATGGATAAACGTGGACAAACTATAATATTATATGCACATATTGATCTTGTATCCCCAAAAGTGTCCTTCCTGGGAGCACTGCTCCCACTAGCTAACTCCCGATCCCGCTGGGGGAAATCATGACAGTCCTGGAGGGAAACCTGGATCCTGCAGCATGGACGTACTAGTAGAACATGTGTGTATTCTGCATTCAAACATTGACATATTGTAGAGCTTCGCACACCGGCGACGCCGGTAGGGATCGGGGGAGGGAAAGAGAGAGGGGGATGTCATCTGAACTTGCGAACATGACATGCTGAGGGTCGGCGGCCTATCTTGGGGCTATGTTGGCCCATCTTGGGGCTATGTTGGCCCATCTTGAGGCTATGTTGGCCTATGCCTAGTGTTGTAATTTACAGCATTTTGTGCTGTGAGATGGTAAGAACCCGTGTAAATACCACAGTTTTAGTCCCCGAAAGTGGCTAAAACACTCTTATTTACAGAGTTTCGTTCACATCACGATCTTCGATTTTTTGAAAAACGTGTAAATACCAGCGTTTTTTGCATTCATCAAGACAAAAAATCGGTTCAAAAAGTGCAAAAAATGCTGTAATTTACAGGGGAGTGGCCCCGTCACAAGCAAAAAACTGCGTAAATACCAGCGTTTCGGCGTCCAAAAGTTGCCAAAACACTGCTATTTACAGTGTTTCGTGCCTTCCACGTTTGCTTGAAATTGCAGAAACATTGTAAATACCAGCATTTTTTGCGATCAACCCGCCAAAAATGCTGTAATTTACAATGTTTTTTTGCTTGGCTTTCAAAAACACTGGTATTTGCAGTGTTTTGTGCATCTCGGGTCCAAAAAGTACTGGTATTTACAGCATTTTCTGCGTTTTTGCATGGCTCCCGCCAACGACGTTAAAACGCAAAAATGTTGTAATTTACAGCATTTTGTGACTTCCGAAAAGCGAAAAATCGTCCGAAAAATGTGTCAAAACGGTACTTTTTTCCGATTTTTGGAACCTCCAAAACGCATCTTCAAATTTTACCCTCTTTTTGTCCACCCCAGACCCCGAAAAACGTGAAAACCCCACCAGGCTAAAGGATTTTTGGGGAGGGTCGGCGGCAGGGGCGCGCCCCCGGGTAGCTAAAGCTATGCTTAGCTTCCCCACACTACACGGCGAGGCGTCGCCGGATTTAAGGGCTAACGCCCCTCGTCGGCTCCGCCGGATTTCTCGGCCCTCCATTTCATCGCAGTGTGGGGGCTGGAAAGCTTTTGGATGGGGACCTGCTTCAGAAATATATTCCTTACGTTTTTTGAAAAAAAAAGAACAGGAACTTTGTTGGAAATAGACGGCTTTTTTGGGGAGCAAGTGAGTGCCCGAAAGCTCCTGCCAAGGGTTTTTCCCGAAGAACTGCTGCCAATTTCAACTTGTGACTTCATGTCAAGACGCCTCTGTGCAAAGACTTCTCTGTGTAAAAGCTTTTGTGTGTAAAAGTTTCTGTGTGTAAAAACCACTTTGTGTAAAGACTTCTTTGTGTAAAAGCTTCTACGTGTGAAAGCTTCTCTGTGTGAAATGTCTGTGTAAAGATTTCACTGTGTGTAAAAGCTTCGGTGTGTAAAAACTCTCTGTGTAAAGTGTAAAGGCTTCTCTGTGTAAAAGCCTCTGTGTGTAAACGCGTCTGTGTGTGAAAGCTATATATCTGTGTAAAGACTTCTTTGTGTAACAGCTTCTGTGTGTAAAGGCTCCTAGACGTTTGTGTGCAAAAGCTCCTTGGAGTAAAGACTTCTCTGTGTAAAACATTCTGTGTGTAAAAAGCTCCTTTGTGTAAAGGGGATGCCTAACACAACGGATGGCCTAATCCAGGGGTTGAAGAAGGGAGAGACGCCCAGCCAAGCAGGTAGGAACCACAGACGGCCGAAAGCGAGCCGGACAGGACAACGCGGGCAACTGACAGCCAGAAACGCG